AATTTTATTAAATCTAGCTGCTGTCTCAACTAGATTTACTCAAAAGCATACTCAAAAATATGCTTCTTGCATTCTAAAGAAATAGGAAAAGAAAAATAGTGAGATGTCACAAAACATAAAATGCACAGAAGAAAGGATCCAAGAGATCAATAGCACTTTTCTAAAACAGATTTGTAAGCTGAGGTTTATTTGTAACTTTAAAAAATTCAGTGATCTCCTCCAACTATTTTTTTAACCCAACTATACAGAAAAAACATTCCAAATGTAGAAATCCCTATTTAAATAGTTCAGCCACTTCACCTTAAAGCACCTCTAGAAAATACAACTACTTGTTCATAATGTGGCATCAAAAAATTAAAGTACCCCATCCTTTTAAATGATCTTAAAACATGCTGTACTACAGTGCATAAAGTAAAAAATATGTGAGTTGTATTAAAAGGTTGTATGAAAATACAATTAACACAATTATATTTTGTATAACATTAGAATAAATTTCTAATTCAAAAAGAGCTCCCAAGAATGTATGAGGGGCTGGGGAGATAGCTCAATCGAATAAGCGCTTGCCTGGTAAGCACAAGGGCCTGAGTTCAGCCTCTGGTTCCACAAAAAAAAAAAAAAAAAAGAAAAAAAAAAAGTATGAAAATATTAAAGAAGAAAAACTCTTATGCTCTCTATATCCTTTTTTTGTAACCCTTGTTTTAACAATAAGGATCCTTAAGCCCACTTAAATGTGGTCACAGGACTACAGCTAGATTTTTACTAGCTTCCTAAAGGGGATTATTAATAACTATAGCTACTATTAACAGTTATACATTCCACTATTTCTTTCTTAAATATTGCAACATAAAAGCTAGGCACTGTGGTACACACCTGTAAGTCTAGTTTCTTAGGACATTGAGGCAGAGGATTGCAAGTCTGAGGCCAACCTAAGCAACTTTGAGACAGTTTGTCTCATAATAAACAGCTAAGAATATAGCGGGGCTTGCTCAGAATTCAATCCCCAGTACTACAACAACAACAAAAAATCACAATATAAAACTTCAGTGAAATGCTTAGAAAGTTACACATCCATCAATCTCACTCATATGTAAGGTTACTGACCCTATAATTAATTGTTTTAAAAGACACTGCTGATACCGGGTTAAAAGATAATGGGCTAGATGATGAACCCTAAGAATAAAGTTAATGAATCAGCATGTTAGTTCAGGTTCTGAAGTGGATGCCTGGAGCAGGGCCAGCTAAGCCAGCAAATGACAAGCAGGGTTGTCTGAAGGGCTCAGAAAGGCAGGGTGCACAGAGAAGTGGATGTGAGGACCCCTCGCCCCAGGTCCTCACCTGTGGCCTAGATATCCTGGATTGTATCTGGCAAATGACTTCTCATGAACTCTGATTTGCACTATACATTTCTACTAACACAAAACATTTATTCTTGAGTTCAAATGCTTCTTCTGATCTTTTTTTCGAAATTTTACAGAATTAAAAAAGAGCCCTAGAATTAACTACATAATCAGCTGAAACTGAATTTTCTAAACCAACACCAATCTATTAATGGGTTAGTGGAATCACAGTTCAGGCAGCCTAGTTAAAGGCCTCCTTCTTAATTTCATCCAGTTGGTCCTTTAAGGAGGGAGGGAAGGAGAAGAGATAGGAAAGGACAGAGGAGAGCCAAAAAGCAATCAGGCACAGGGACCCTGTATCGAATAAAAAAAATAATTTTTAAAATTTAAAAAATAAAAAGGTTTTGCCCAATTGATTCAGCCTCTTTCCTATGTAAGTATTTAATAACTGACAGAAATGAGATGCAATCAATTCAATTTTACTCAGAGAAAACAACTTAAAGAAGGCCATGAATAGGTAAGGTCTGTTGCAGAAGAGACAAAGTAAAAGATAACCATATTCTCAGAACACTAAAACACTAGTGATAGATAAAACATGTGCACACATTAGAGAACCCAAAGCAGCAGAATGTAAGTATAAGCACAGACAGAAATTAAAAAAAAAAACCTCCCATAAAGGGAGGAAGGGAAAGCCAAGCACTGAGATCAAAGCCCTGTATCAGTGTACTACCCAATTAACCAGTAAAGTCCATGCATAAATAGGTTAAAAGAGAACACAATGAGTGCTAAGAACACCGTGTAAGACTCAGCAGGGTGGGTTCTTATTTTAGTTCTACCTGGAACTAGCGTGCAGCTCTGGGGCATTAAACCACCACTCCTTCCTAAAGGATTTCCTCATCCAAGAACAGAAAATACCTGGCAAGTGCAAGGGCCTGAATTCAATCCCTGATTCTGCCAAAAAAAAAAAAAAAAAAGAACAGAAAATGGCACCTGGTCTACCTGCTTCAACTCCTTAACAATTACATTTTTATAAAATACACTTTTAAGAAAGTTTATCAGTTTTATTTTCAGGAATGTTAACATTCTGTACTTTTTAATTTGAGACAGGATCACATTATGTATTTTAGGATGGCCTCAAACTTGCTGCTTAAAACATTCTACAGGGAAGGCACTGTCACAGTTAAAAAATAACACATAGGAGAAATGACAAGAGATGGTAGCATAAAAATAAGAGCAAGGACCTGTCCTAGGTCAGGTAATAGGATTTTGTGGCTTTATCAACAGTGTAGGCAACCAGAAGAGTTCTTTAAACTTCGAGAATATGTAGTACATTGTAAATTTTATTAAATCTAGCTGCTGTCTCAACTAGATTTACTCAAAAGCATACTCAAAAATATGCTTCTTGCATTCTAAAGAAATAGGAAAAGAAAAATAGTGAGATGTCACAAAACATAAAATGCACAGAAGAAAGGATCCAAGAGATCAATAGCACTTTTCTAAAACAGATTTGTAAGCTGAGGTTTATTTGTAACTTTAAAAAATTCAGTGATCTCCTCCAACTATTTTTTTAACCCAACTATACAGAAAAAACATTCCAAATGTAGAAATCCCTATTTAAATAGTTCAGCCACTTCACCTTAAAGCACCTCTAGAAAATACAACTACTTGTTCATAATGTGGCATCAAAAAATTAAAGTACCCCATCCTTTTAAATGATCTTAAAACATGCTGTACTACAGTGCATAAAGTAAAAAATATGTGAGTTGTATTAAAAGGTTGTATGAAAATACAATTAACACAATTATATTTTGTATAACATTA